TGTATCGTCTTTGCCCTCAAACAAAGCGTCATCAAATGGAAATGGAAGCACACAACCATCGTCAGTCAGATACTCCGGTGTAAGCAGAGTGCGCATAACGGCAACCACGTCATCAACTCTCCGACCCATGGGTCCTGGACAGGGATGTAGCACGATAGAAGAAGATGGAAGAAGGATATGCAACCCAACAGAACTCAAACGTCTGTATGTTGGTTTGAGACTAGCAAGGCCACAGAATGCAGCAGGAATACGAATGCTTCCGCCGATATCCGTACCAATGCCCACTGGAGATCCACGCTGAGTCAACAACACTGCCTCTCCACATGTGCTTCCACCAGTAATCCGCTCAGGATTGTAGGGATTGACCATATCTCCAAAAATAACGTTAGAGCCATCAAGACTTCTAAGTGCCTGTGATGTGGCCGTAATTACGAATGGATTCGCTCCAGCCGTTATCAAATGGTTTAAAACAGCACNNNNCAGCACAGTTACTTCTAGCCGGCATGTTGCACCGCTTGATTAAACCTGCAGTCGAGTCATAACCCGTTAGTAATAGTGTTTCTTTGACACTTATTGGTATTCCGTAGAGGGGAGATCGTTTGCTTGCATCGCCGACCGGATGCAGGTTTTGGGCCCGATTCTCGGCTTCTCGAACAAACTCACAAATACCAGAATTTCCTTTATCAAACAAACTCAAGGCCTTCAGTTGATAGGCGTGGAGTAATCGCGCTGGAGTCAAGGTACCATCTGCTATCTTTTTGCGCAGATCACACAAATCCAGTTCAGTCAGAGCTAACAGCTCCTCACGCGAATCTGGCAATGTTTCCAATGCGGAACGCAGACTACTGAATGATTTTTCGAGATAAAGTTTCTTGCGTTTAAGGCGTTTATTCAATTGATATTTCCGGTAGTACTGATGCAAAATCCGAATGAGCAGAGCACTTAGACCACAGGTCACGATAATCTTTTTGTTCGTGTATCGTCCGAGAAAACCGACAAGCATAGCCCAGTGCGCACCAACGATATCCATTGTGTCTGTAAAAGTTGAAAAATTGTTCCCAGATTAATCATAATAGATTGAACGTAAAGATTACGTTTATGCTAAATATGGTAAATTCAAAAGGAGAAGCACTCATGTATCGATCCCTGTAATCAACTGAATAGATAGAGCACAAACGGATGGTGGTCCCGGGGTGTGTTCGAATCCCACCACCACCACCTGAGTTTCCCTATTGAGTGTTGAATGGCAGCCCTTTGATTGGCCGCTTTTCCCTTCCTGAAAATCGTATATTTTTATATTCAATAAAAGGAAGTAATACGAAAAAGAACGACTCGAATTCAAATGTGCTAAAAACGGATATCAGCCCATAACCTGCGAAATTGAGAAAACTTGTACTTATTCTTTAGTTGAACATTTATGTGGATCAGTTGTTGACATGGCTGTATACGTTTAAGCTTAAATACATAGCTTTTTTAACTTCAAGACTGGGTTAAACAAGGAATAGTGCCCAAATTGCGTATTCCTACCTCACCACCACCTCCACCTCACATTCATGCATTTTTTTTAGTACACACATTCGTGTGATAAACAGCAGATGGGGTAGACCCCATAGTCACGAAGACCTGCTGTTGAGTGCTCGTAATCCGCAACTCGATCCCCGGGACTTGGAGTGGCGAACCACATAAGGCCCCGATAGGTTAGGTGTGGTAGTGAACCGGACGACAGCAAAGCTGCCTACCACCAAAGAGAGGGCATTACGAGTCTGGCAGCAAAAAGTGAAGTTCGCTCCATTATATTATATATACATATAATGATGAATGTGCGGAGGGGAAAGCAGTTGAATGCTCTCTGAGTTTCAGTTTCAGTTTTAGCAACCATTAACCATGCACTTTCACCGGTTTTGATAGCCCATTTGGATGAAGAGAGAGAACAAAAATTGGAATTTTGAGTGTACTGGGGTGTGAAAATAGTGGATTCCCTCAGACTAAGAACCTTGAGACACCGCTTACGGCACTCATTTTTTTAATTACACAGCAAGACGGAGCGAACCCCATAGTCACGAAAAACCCCTGCCCAGTGAAAGCAATCAGAAACCTAAGCCCGGAGACTTGGAGTGGCGAACCACATAAGGCCCCGTTTGGTCATTTTTATTAGACAGAAATACAGTAAAATAAGGAAGCCCATTAGACAAATAGTATATCGCAAAAGGGAGAGTCGGGGATCATGCACGCAAGATCCAGTTTATTGATTCTGCGTTTAAAGAGCTGAATGTTGTAAGTTGGGGGAAAGACAGAAAGTGAGGTGTTGCACAATCTGGCAGCAGGATGAAAAAAGACTGGAACAGAGAAGTACGACATACTGTGACCGAAATATGATAAGGATGACTAGATGCCTGTGTACGAGATGGGCGAGCAAAAGTTACGAGAAGGGGCACCGCTGAGGCGAGCTCCGAAGACCAAAAACCAAAGTAGTAACGGTAAAGCAAGGGCAGCGAAGCAACTGCCCGACGATGGGTAAGTGACTGCAGACTGGAGATTATGGAAGAATCATCGATCAGTCGAATGGCCTTTCGTTGAAGTCAAGTCAAGTCAAGAAAAGTTTTATGCACTCAAAGGGTGAATTTTCAGCAATTTACGATTTTTACAGTGGATAGAGCTAACTGCTAACAAAAAAGACAATATAAGAAATTTCACACTTTAGTAGATGGGAGAAAGACCAGTGCTAGAGTTTTTCCCTGAGGTGGGTGAGAATATTCTGACGAGCAAGGGATGGAATTACACTGTTTCTATATGTAGAAGTCCGCGCAGGAAGAAGTTAATATTCGGAGTGAGATCGGGGATTCGACAGGGCTTTCCTGATATCTTGGTACAGACAGTGCCCTTTATCCTGTCTGTGAATGTATCACAAGCATCAAGATACCTGGAAATAAAGAAATCAACGAAAAAAGCCCTACCAACTCTACTGTAGCGGGACAAAAGTTTAAGGGATCTCGAAAATAAAGTGGTCTTTTTCTTTTAGTCGTAACCTTTTCCATCTAATTAGGAATACGGGTCCTAGGAAAATAGGTGTAAGTGAGGTAATTAGGGAATCCGATGGCACACTGATTCACGATCAGCAACGCCGTCTTGACCGTTGGGCTGAACATTTCAAGGCTCAGTTCAACTGGCCCCCATTGACATCTTATCTTTCACTCTCCGCCTCGACTGGAGAAATACTCCCAGTTGATGCTAGTCCCCCATCTGAAATGGAGGTATCTCGGGAAATAAGTTATCTCAAAAGGCCTCTGGCCCAAATGGGCTGTTCCCATCAGCGTTTAAGAATGGAGGCTCAGCGTTAGTCTTGAAGTTGACAAAACTCCTGGGCTCAATATGGGAAAGAGAGGAGGTTCCAGCTGAATGTTGTGAGTCGGTCATCATGCCGATTTACAAGAAAGGTGATAGATCCTCTTGTGAAAATCAAAGAGGAATTAGTTTAATTAACATCGTCTCTAAACTTCTTGCTGGCATCATACTCCGCCGACTGTCTGCCGCACGCGAACGGTGCA